ACTGCATCCTTCTAAAGGGAACAATTCAAGAAGAGGAGATGACAATCATAAATATCTATGCCCCAAACACTAGTGTGCCCAAATATATAAAACAAGTACTAACAGACATGAAAAGTCATATATGCGCTAACACAGTTGTAGTGGGGGACCTCAATACCCCACTGTCACAAACAGATAGATCAACTAGGCAAAAAACAAGCAACGAAATACTAGAACTCAATCAAACTCCTGAATAAATGAACTTAACAGATGTTTACAGAGTGTTTCACCCCACAAAATCAGAATACACATTTTTTTCAGCTGCACATGGGTCATTCTCCAAAATAGACCACATACTCGCTCATAGAACATGTTTAAGTAAGTGCAAAGGAATTGAAGTTATCCCCAGTATATTATCATACCACAGTGCAATGAAATTAGAGATCAATAGTGAAAGAAACCACAAAAACTTCACAAACATATGGAAATTGAACAACACACTTCTGAATAACCAATGGGTCACAGAGGAAATTAAAGAAGAAATCAGACAGTTCCTTCAATTAAATGACAATGACAATACAACATATCAGAATCTATGGAACATAATGAAAGCAGTCTTACAAGGGAAATTCATAGCAGTGAATACACATATTAGGAAAACAGAATGAACCCAATTAAACAACGTGATGCTGAACCTCAAGCTTCTAGAAGAAGAAGAGCAGGACAAACCCAAAGCTCATACAAGGGAGGAAATTGTAAAGATCAGAGCAGAAATCAATACAATGGAGACTAAGAGAATGATACCAAAAATCAATGAAGTTGATTCAATGAAGTTGAGTTGGTTCTTCGAAAGAATACACAAAATCGACAAACCCTTAGCCAACCTCATCAGAAAAAGGAAAGAAATGGCCCAAATCCATGCAATTAGGAATGGAAAGGGTAAAATTACAATGCACCCAGCAGAAATCCAGAGGATCATCAATACCTACTTCGAGAATCTATACGCCGATAAGATGGAAAAAACAGAAGAAATGGACAGATTCCTAGATATATATGAATTTCCAAAGTTGAACAAAGAAGACCTAAAAATTCTCAACAACCCAATATCAATCAGTGAAATTGAAAACGTAATTGAAAACTTATCAACTAAGAAAAGCCTGGGTCCTGAAAGGGAAGCAATATTCCCAAATTCATTCCTGGAAGCAAGAATCACCTTAATCTCCAAAGCAGAGAAAAACCCAACTGAAAAAGAGAACTATAGGCCAATCTCACTGATGAACATAGATGCAAAAATCCTTAAGAAGTTACTGGCAACTAGAATGCAGAAGATCATCAAGAAGATCATACACCCTGACCAAGTGGGATTTATTCCAGGGATACAGGGATAGTTCAACATACGCAAATCAATCAATGTAATACACTATATCAATAGAGCCAAGGACAAAAAACATATATGATCATCTCCCTGGATGCAGAAAAAGCATTTGACAAAATCCAACATGCATTTATGATAAAAACCCTACAAATAATTGGAAGAGATGGTCTCTACCTCAGTCTGATAAAAAAAATCTATGAAAACCCAACAGCCAATATCATACTAAATGGTGAAAAACTGAAATCCTTCACACTAAAATCAGGAACAAGACAAGGATGTCCTCCATCACCACTCCTGTTCAATATAGTTTTGGCAACATTAGTAACAGGAATTAGACAAGAGAAAGAAATAAAAGGAATAAAAATAGGAAATGAAGAAATCAAATTGTCATTATTTCCAGATGACATGATACTCTATATAGAACACCCCAAGAACTCCACCAAAAGTCTTCTACACTTAAAAACAAATTCAGTAAAGTAGCTGGATACAAGGTCAACACACAAAAATCAATAGATTTCCTCTACACGAACAACAGACTCATTGAGACAG